TTGAAGGCTGGCGGGCAAGGTGCAGCGTAACGGAACGCGAAGCAAGCGCCTCCTAAGAACTGGCGTCAGCGGTATATGCTGGAGCATGACTCGGCCCAGGTGCGGGCGCAGCACCATATGACAGCAGTGCGTTAGCACTCTACAGGATCGCTGACAAAGAACAAGAGAGAAATGCACTTGGCATGTGAATGCGCAGATTATCCCGGGTGGTCCGGGCAGCGGCCTCTGCGTCGTGTGCGACTCCTTTTTGTTCGAGGGAATGCTATGCCGCAAAACAAAAGCACCAGTTCGCCCCGCTTCGTCCACACGCGCCAGCAGACCGCGTTTCTTGTTCGAAAAGGAGATATTGGTATTCACGACAGTTACAATCTGCAGCGTGTGTTTGCTTTGACTGTCGGTACGCCCCAGGTGCGCCATAATTCAAAAATGCGCCTGCTGACTGAGCTGAAAGAGGCGTTTGTGGTGCACATCCGCAGCGCTTGTGTCCCCTGACTGGTGTGGATCCCTATGCTGCCACTCTGCCGCTGTCGCCGGTGCGGGACCGGCCGCCACCTCAACCGGGTCACGTGACGCGTCTCGGGGATCAGTATAGGGGGCACCGCTGTCGTCGGCTGCAGTCTGAGCTCGCCCCTCCCCCTCTCCTCCCTCCTCCCCTGGGTGACTTCTCACACACAGGCAAGGTGAGAGGTGCTGACATTTGATCCAATGACACTGGGTGCGAGTCCCAGAACGGACGCATTTGGCTCGACAGCAGGCATGGAAAGATCGGCTCCCGGCTGACCACTGACGCGAGCCGGGCCCGGAGGGGCTGCATTCCGCATACTGACGCGAGCCGGGCCCGGAGGGGCCGCATTCTGCATACTGGCGTGCGGCACGTACAGTTCTGCGGAAACGCGTGTGCCACAAGTCCTTTGGCACACCCAATGAGCTCTGTCATCCAAACACTGAACCCGGAACCAAACATGCAAAGCATCTATGATACATTTGAATCGTGACTCTCGTACAGGTTCAACGCGCTGAGAGGACGACTCACGCAATACTTCCCAAGGGTGACATGTAAAAGGGATTGGGCTGGCCTAAAAATATTTTGTCACTTTCCCGCGAAATTTTGGTACATGTGTTTTTGGTCAGGACCATGGTTTTTGCGCTGAGTTAATTCAGCGAGCTCTTCGTCTCCAGCCTTAGCCCAATTGGGAGCGAGTGCACCCCTACCACCTTGTGGTATATAATTGCGTTCAGGGATGTCACTTTTATACTTTCGGAGGAGCCTCCAACGCTGACTTGACTCTCAGATACTCTGTTCTGCCTCTGAGCCCTGTCAGTGCACATGGGCAAAGACAGAATACTAGGCCAAAGAAATACAGATAAGTTCTCCCAACCATCCGTTGACTACGCAGGTATCAAGCCACATCGTTACTAGTAGCATGTTCATGTTGTGCCAAATCGTATCCTGTTGCTATCTTATGTTTTCATCAGGCCATCTCCTATGGTAGGTAAACGGTACGTTCCAGGATGCGCAACAGCTGAACGTGCTGCAAGTTGTCGATTGTCTACCCTATTGTCCGCAGTGATGCGCCCTATTTTGGAGTCGACGAAATATTTTTTAACGTTGGGATTGCAAATTGAAGTGACCAAACTGCTGTTAGGTATCAGGTCTCGGTAGTCGGTTTTGCTATATATATATATATATATATATATATATATATATATATATATATATATATATATATATATATATATATATATATATATATATATATATATATATATATATATATATATATATATCTATATATCTATATATATATGCCATGTATATATAATGCATATGTGTGTGTGTGTGTGTGTGTGTGTGTGTGTGTGTGTGTGTGTGTGTGTGTGTGTGTGTGTGTGTGCACGTCTGATTAAAAATGCCCGCGACCCAGTATTGATGAAATTTGTATGCATCGTTCTAGTTCCCGAGCTTTCGACTTAGCATCATCGTTTAGAGTAAAGATGCTTCGTGCAAAATCACTCATATAATCGTCGACCTTTACATTTTAACGTCTCAAGACCTTATCTCATCGTCAGAGAAGACTGAATGGCACAACAAACAAGTTTGAGGTTTATAGGATGAAAATTGTGCACTACTATTGGAAAACATCTCTTGGTACGGAGAACACAAATTAAGCATGTCTAACTGGAGTAAGACAGAATCCTATATTTACTTTGATACATGTAGAATACACTCATAATGGGAACACTGCAAAGACACAAACATATTGCCACAATCACATCAATGACGGTCACCACCCACCACCTAATAATTCAAGGGTTGTACAAGAAATTGTTTGGCTGTTGCATTTGTCATGTCGTTGCATTTCGCTTTCAACGTCAGAATTTGGAAAAAACAGTTGTTCGCCAAGATCTGTGTGATTCTTACCAATTTCGAATGCAGAGCTGTTCAATCAGAGCAGTGCTTAAATGCGCGTCCAATGAATGAGCTTATGGCGCTAGTTTTGTAGCGCCGAGGACACTCACTGTCAGCATTTAAGCACTATCCGTTGTTAGTCTGCTTTTGGTACACAGTCGTTTTAAATCGCTGTCCTAATCCATCAACAGTCAAGTCAAGACAGGGTATTATGTTTTGCACACTTCATTCTTTTGTGAATCTTGAACCAAATTGCTCTTCAAAGCTTGAGACGTCCTAGTTGGTCAATGTTCCTAACTTCCACAAAGATATGGTCTACATAGCGACAGGAAATGTCCGGTCCTCTGTCGTCATTTTGTACTGTGTCGGCTTTTACATGTCCATAAAGAAATCAGCGCGTAAAGGCCCTAGAGGTGAGCCCATCGCAACACCCTCAATTAGGCAACGTATTCGTCCACCAGGCCCGCGGAAAGGAACTTCCAGCGCCTTCCTGAACAATTACTAAAAGCCTGTACGCTGGAAGCTCCTTTACGCGGGCTTGTTGGCCGAATCGGGTCGATGCTGTTGCTAAGGTGTAGCACTGTTTCGGGAAACCGAGTATGTCCTGACAAGGCAGATGTGAATCACGTCCATGCGTCACCCGAAGGGTAATGTTTAGCTGTCACGAGAAGTGGGTGAGTCGTGACCCCGCTTCCCTTCCCACCCAGGCCGCTTTTCCATGCCTTGCCTGCTCACTCTCATGGCTACTTGACAGCCTTTTCGTGGAGCGCGCCTTCACTTGAATTACGTTGCTCCTCTCCCAAACGTGAGTGGTACGCTTTGACTGCTCGCACGTGCGGACTCCGGCCTGCTTCGAGCATCCGGATCTGCTCAGAGGCAGGTCAAGTGCGAGTCTTACAGCCACAAAGCGTTCGGTGAGGGATTAGTCCTGGCATTTTACAGCACATGTGCTTTTTACTACGCTCATTTCGTTTGTTTATCATGCTATGCAAACGACGGTCGATATCGTATGTCGTCCTGGCTATAACCGCAATTAATGTCGTTGGAGTTACCATGGTAACTCGCCAGATAAGGGCCCCGGAGGCTTTCCAATTTCCTGTCAGGAATAGCACTTGAACCGCTCGGCGTACGCGACTGAAACTTTCCGCAACCTAGTTTTCGGCTTTGTGCATCTTTTGTGACAGTGTTTAGGCCTTGCCTGGAATAGTTTACGAACGATGATTTTTAAGTAAGGTCACGTCGAACACATCGCACGTTCAGGTGACCCGTATCGTACATATGGTGAAGAACATACGCTCAACAGAGCCCTTCCACTGACTGCCCGCATTTTATCATTTCGTCGTGCCCCTAGATGAGAAATTCCATCAAGTACAATGAGATCGACTTACCTGAAGTCAAACTGTGTCGAGCACATCCGGTAAATACACATTTACGGAACAATTTACCTGAAATTACCGCGATCTATGTATTCTAAGGTCATATGCCAAGTTTGATGCCCGTTGAGAGCAGCCATCCGCCTGTGTTTATTTATTGTCGTACTGCGTTCAGTGTTTACAATAACAAGTATGCGGGGTTGACCTATGCTTGATTCATATAAACTGACTTGCTTTGCAGCAGGTCTTACCAACTGTTGGGTTCCTGTCGATGCATTATTCAACGTGCCATGAACCATACTACATGGCTTTCCCTGCCATCATTAGACACATGACTCTATATGCTATGCAAAGATTTGTTTGCTCATATTAATGTGCCGCCAGCCTTGCCAGACCGCTGAATGACTGGTGACTGCGCCGGACGGTCGGAGAATAAACCAACAGGCCTTAAGTCCAGACTCGTGGTCCAAAGCAAACCTATCGCGGTCTTAGTGCCTCACATCCCACCTCTCAGTGCACAGACAGACCGCGCGCATCTCGCAACATTCCAGCCTTCGTCACGTCACGGCCGCTCCACGAACCCAGCGACCGCCGCTGCGCTGCGCACCCTGCGTCATACCATACGACGCGAAACATTGAGAGTAATAGCCAATCGTTGTTTTTGCGCTCGTCGGCGGCGCAACTCCCCACGCAGCCGCGTCTGCACGCGCTCCCCGCGCTGTCTGCTCTGTGTGGCCGCGCCGGCCGCCAGGTGTTTGGCGAGGTGTTGCTGTCCGTTAGCCCACCGGCCGCGGCCCGGGCGCCCGCCGCCGGCCATCATCGTTGCAGGCGACCGCGCCGTTTCCTGCATCCGGTCACACCTCGCCGCGTGCCCCGGGCGACCGGTGACGTCACACGCCAGTCAGCTGACTCAGCGCCGCCGAGCCGCCGCTGGAGCTCGCCGCGCGCCGCTCGAGAGCCAGTTCACGGACTCCGCCGGTGTGTGGTGTGTGAGCACGCGCGCGCGCAGCCGTACGGACACGGACGCGTGCGGCGAACACAGCGGGGAGACAAGGTACTGACAGTGCTGGTGCTGGAAACGAGTGGGCGCGTGTTTCTTGTTGAATGGCAAGGTGATGCGTTGGAAGTTTTCGGCGGTTTCATCGCGTAGTGGATGGTCCATCTTTCGAAACCCAGGTTGCACCGTCTATTCGCGATGTCAAGTGAGCAGATCACAGTGAAGGTGATCACTGCCATTCTGCAGCAGACCAATGCAACGTACAGTTGCAGTTGAAGAACGTGGAGCTTACATGTTGCACGTGCCAATACACATTTTGGCACGATTATTTGTGGGTGGTTCAATACGATGCGCATCCCGGAGGTGCTGATGGAACCGATGTGACCAAATGGCTCACTATCGTGCCATGATGAACCCGTTACGGTTACTCACAAGGGAACAGGACATATTAACAGGATGTGGGCGTGGGAGGCGGCGAACATCCGGTCTGTCGAATTATGGCAATCTAATCGCAACGCATTATGCGTTACAAAAACCGGTAGATTATCTGGGACTGCATGATGGGGAAATGCGAGGGACGACGTAGCTGCAGCTCATTTTCTTCGTGCGGTCGGATTGGTTGTTCCTATGGTTACAAATAAGCTTGTAGAGCTGGACTGGCGGACCAATTGTCTGAAATGGTTACGGAAATGTATCGGGTGCTTCAATCCCAGGACGGTCTCTTTCAGCACAGGTGGACTGCGTCTGTGTGAAGAACGTAATTGTGCACACGGTTCGATGTGGGTCCGAGATCTCAAGGATACGTCTGTAGTTTCGGACACCAGTGGGGTGCCTGTGCGTGTGCTGTCCGTTGTCTCGTCCGCTCTCTAGAGCTGCTCAAGCCGCATGTGTCCGGCCCTGGAGGGAGAGTGACACCACGCTAGAGAGACCAGTAAGAGGTGCACAATTGTCAGAATGTTCACAGAGCAAACGGCATATTTCCTTGTTTGTTTTGAAGCCGTGTTTAAACCCGTTCAGTTCAGACTTCCCGAATAAGGTCGGATACGCTCTAAACCAAGATACGCTGCTGGTCATCACGAATTTATTTACACTAAGAGACTTTGTTTATCTCCCCGCCCGGGACTATGTAGGGTTACGAAACTCTCCTGAAGTGACCGTGGTCCCGAAAATAAGAGCACACACGCATCATGACTTTGTACTGACGTGTTTGGTGCTGCGGTGCACGGATATCATGACGGCACTCACACCTGACGTCGTGAATGCGACTGTGCCCTTCGTGATTGTGTTCATTTCCACGGGCTCGAATTTGAAACCAGGCACGGGGCGAAGCCGGCTTCTGGCTCGGCTTTTGCGGAGTCGCATTTTTTACTCCAATGGATTCAGCCTGGTCTACCGATTTGAACGATTTTCCAGAGCTGGCTCCGACTTCAGTTTCGGGTCGTTATTAACCGTTGGCTTCGGCTTCGGCTTCGGCTTCGGCTTCTGCTCCATGTCACTCATGTTCGTCCCGACAGATTTAGCCTTCGGATTCACCCTTCCGAGGCTCTGTGAATTCGAGTCGCTTTTGGCTACCGCCCCTTGTCCCTGGCTGAGATAGCCCGCGGCTGGTGGCAGCGGCCGCTCTAAAGGTCGGTTGATGTCAGAGGACAGGGCGGACCGTGCCGAGCATTGCGGCACGTTAAGATCGGATGTAGGGGGTCAGGGCTTACGCAATAAGCACCGCTTAGCTTGGTCGCTGATTCTAGAAATGTGCTGAATCTTTCAGGCTAAATCCTAAAAAAGAGATACAAAACATATTTGTGCCATTCAGTTGCGTTGCCTCCCGGTTCTGTTACGATGCCATTAACCTGGCCTTGTCCCTTTGCATGCTTTAAAAAGCCTGTTGCTGAAGTACCATTTATCGGATGCATAAATGAAGCCACTTCCCAGAAATTGGAACTGCGGAAATAGATTCTTTTCATGCGTCGCCTTAGAATGAATGCTCAGCACTCTCGGAAATTGAGGCAGCATAGTAGCCCCCTCTGTTATTACGCCGATGTACATACGCTTTCTGCTGATTGCGGGCGTCCAGCTGTAAGCGAGCCGATTGTCAGGCACGCCCTTCACGATACCTCCGCTTCCTCGGAGCAGTCGTCCAGCACGGGCTCCTCAGGCGCCCAGCTCGCCCCTCCCCTCCCCCGCCAGCTGACCATGGTGGCCACTGTTCCCCGCCACCCACGCGGCCAGACCAGCGCCGCTGCACCACAGTGCCACTTGTCGGAACGCCCCTCCCCGTCCCCGCTCCGCTGCTCATGAGGCCCTGTTGCGACCGGCGGTCGGCGCCGCCGCCGAGACAGCAGGGCATTGTCGGCGGGGAGGGGCGTCCTTTCCGGTCGCCACGGGGAGCCCCGCACGGCACACGCTGTCCGAAGCCTCTTCATACAGCGTAGCAGTGTGATGCACTTCACACGGGACGGCCGGGCGTGTCCCTCCAGCGACCTAACCGGTTCTGGCGCGAGGCGGTGTCGTAATCGGCGCCCCCACGTACCGCGCGTAGTATTTTCTGGGCAGGGCGCAGTCCTCAGGGTCGACCGCGAGCGCACCATCCGTGCGGCTGCCTCGGCGCTCGTGACCGGCCTGCAGAGGCATCTTTAGCTCCGGGGGAGAGAGTTCATCCTGACTGAGGCCCCCGCGCGGATATCAGACCTTCCAGACGTTGGAGGAGGTTGTGTCTGCGTCGGGTGTGTCGTGGCGGAGGAGACCGTGGGCGTTGAGCATGACTCCGTGTCGGGGATGGACCGCGCAGCTAAGGGATGGGCCCGGCTGGTCTGCTCTGGCCGCTGGTCTGCACCCGTCCTAACACGTCGGCGCCAGGTCTGGCTCGGAAGGCCACGGCCATGCTCGTGTGACCGGGGCCGGCGCGCCGCCGCCGCCGCCGCCGCCGCCGCCGTGGCGCCCCTCTCTGTTTACGGCCTCGCCAGGATGCGGCCCGTTCGGCTGTTTTTGTCCCGCCGTCGGAGCGCAGCACGTCTGGCGACCGTCGCGCGGCCGGTGTCCAGCTGAGGAGCCGGACGTTCGACCTCCATCGTCGTCAGCTAACGCTGCCAAGTGGCGGAGAAAACAGAGTTGAGCGCATGTGCCACTTGGACGCCGATTGTTCGGAGTGGTCGCCCGCCCGTGACTGCACGTTGGCGGTCCATTTACTTGACTGCGCTTGTCGCGGGCTCAACTGAGGCGCGATGTCCTCGGTGTCAAGGTCGGCTGCTGGCGGCGAACAGCGAAGGCCTTGGCAGCAACTGCTAACCAATAATCAGGGAGCGCGTTGACGGCATTAATTACTGTCACCGCTGACCAGTTTTCCGCGTCAGCGTTGCTAGGTGACCCGCGGCGGAGGCACCAGCAGTCAGCGACAACAGCGGAAGTAATCAGTGACGGCAGTGACGAGCGACCAGCGGCCATTGACCGCCGGGTGCCGGGCGCGCCGCCCCGTCGCTCAGCGCAAAGTGAATGCCGTCCAATGACTCACAACTGTGCGGCGGCGGCGGCGGCGGCGGCTGGACGGCTGTCACGACACCGTCCGTGCGTCTCCGTGATTCACGGGCCGGTGGCGCCACCGCAACCAACGTGACGCTGCGACCGAGCTGACTCACGTGATCCAGCCCCTCGGCGCCGGTGACGATCGGGGGGCGTGACCCCGCCGCTGCCCACGCGTGCGCGCGGCGGCGCTCGCCGTCCTTGCCACCGGTTCGCATCGCTGCGTTGGAGAGCGAGTCACCCGACAGCGCTGACGAAATCCTCGTCTTTCTTTCAGAGCCGGCCTGTAGATACATGAGTCCAGGCTGATCGCTGAAGCTATACCGCAGCGGTCGACACACGGAGCTGACGGCCGACTGACCGCTGACGTCTGGCCGCCGGTGCGGCTGCGACAGTGACTGGTGCCGACCGAGGACGAATCATGGCCGCGCTGACGTTGCCGGCCGTCGTGCTGCTCAGCCTGACGACGCTGGTGACTGCCTTCAACCTGGACACGCTGCACCCGGTCATCTTCCAGGGACCGATCTCGCGTCCGGAGGCGGCGCGCGGGGACTCGTACTTCGGCTTCGCCGTGGGCCTGACCAAGTCGTTGGATGGCTCTCCCTGGTGAGTGAATGCCGCCGCGCTCTGTGCGTGATCCACCTCGTCTGCCTGCCGTGCGTTAGCGCTGCCCCCTCCGCCGTCGTTCCTCGTCATACGCGTCCTCCACGCCACTCTTTTCCGGTCTCTGTGCCTCGTGGTTCCTCGGCGTACACTGCAGGGCTCCGCCTCCTCGTCACGCCGAGCGGTCGAAACAGTGAGACCCGTGTTTAGGGTGACTCATCTCCTGTTTTTAAAATCCGACGAAAACTGCGGGAGATGTGACGTGACAGGTTTCATATTTGAACGCTGATTTGGGACGCGACAGTCGCCGCTCGGCTGGGGCAGCGGACCAGTGCCTGGGCAGTGACTGGCTCTTATTACATGCATATGATTCCGGCGCGCCAGGAAGGAACCACAGCCCTCTATGTGTGTCGAGGTCCCGAACGATTTTTTTTTTTTTTTTTTGCTGCCGAGCGGTCATGAGGTATGCATGAAGTTTATATCGCGTAAGCGATAGTGGCCTCGGCAAGATTCGATGCCACTCACGGGGCGGAAGGGAGCCGACACTGCCTTACGTGATGTTTTTGGGAGACGTTGGTCAGGCTGTGCGTCGGCGTAAGCAGTCTACATGGCCTACATACGTTAGGCAAGTCCACCGGATTACCATCCGTGCGGATATTTGAGGGAGCCAGTTTAGAAGAGCAGGAGCAGGTCTAGAAGATCGATGAGTACACCGCCCCGAGCAGCAGGAAGTGGCAACAGAGAGAGCGAAGACGATCCAAGCAGCGCTGTGCCCGCTCATCAGTGTGCACGGCGTGCGCACGTCCGCACGGAGAGCATCGGGGGTCATCGCGGGTCAACATCCCGAACGTGTCACCGACGGATGGCTGCTCTTAAGCTACGAAGCTGCGCAAGTCAAATCGGGCTCCATTTGCGTAATGCATTGCCGCGAACGCCCAGACAAGTTTGGAAAGGCTTGGGCAATGGGGTTATCGGTTTTATGGAGTTCGATTTTCGACACGTGCCTGCGCACGTTCCAGGTATGTTTGGCATGTTTGTGCAAACTGCAGAGTTTGGGACGCGTCACGAATTGCCACCCGTACATAAATCACGCATGCCATAATGCCGGCAGTTACAGTGAAATGCCAAACCTGAAAAATACCTTGATCATGCTAACTTTGTGGTGAATCCGTGCCAGACTCCAAATGGCAGTCGCGCAAAATAGGGCTCTTTTAATCCACCGTGGCGGGTTCAATGAATGCCCCTCAAATGGTGTGGGCCGATAATCATGCGTGGTCTTTTTTCAGTCAACGCCATAGGCGTCAATGTCCAATTTTCAGTAAGTTAGGAACGTACCTCTCCCCCTGTCCCTCCTAGTTCCGGCACCTCCGCACCGGCGCCTGAGCTGGGGATCAGGCTCTCCCTCTGGCTCTCCTAGTTTCAGCACCTCTGCACCGGCGCCTGAGCTGGGGACTTACCTCTCCCCCTGTCCGTCCTAGTTCCGGCACCTCTGCACCGGCGCCTGAGCTGGGGACTTACCTCTACCCCCCTGGCCCTCCCAGTTCCGGCAACTCTGACCGGCGCCTGAGCTGGGGACTTACCTCTCCCCCTGGCCCCCTAGATCCGGCACCTCTGCAAGGGCATCTGAGTACCGTTCAGCCCTGGTTGGGAGGGCATAAGCGAGCGGCTCATGCGTCGCAACGGCGGCGGACTTGGTCTCGGTCAGCCTCAGGTCAGCCTCTGGCTAGTCACTTGCTGCGTGGGGGGCGACGACACCGGAATGTCGCGAAACGGCACTTGCTTATGCGAAATTGCATGCAACCAGGAACAGCTATCCTCCCTCACATCGAACTACAACTCGCAATTTTCTTCTGTTGGGCTCAGAATGCCGGTAAATGAGTTGCAGTAGTCATTACCGGGAAATTGCTGGGAATTAGCAGCCGTGCAAGCGTACACAAGTGACTGTTATTCAGTTAGTGTTGCTTGTTGCCAGTCCTTTCACGCCGACCGGTGCCCCCAATTAGTTTTGTGCCGGGACATGACGCTGTCGCCGCTCAGGACGTGGACGTCAGGCTGAGGGTGCGGTGGCGATCAAGTCATCGGTGGAGCCTTCCATTCGCCTTAGGATTTCACGCTTGTCGGACGGCGGCGGCGACAACTGTCGAGGCGCTTTGAAAGCGAGCTGGTGAACTCCTCTTGATGACTTTGTCTGGTAGTTGTCAAACGCATGGCCGTCGGCGGCGGCCGCTGAGGCGTGACACGCGCGGGGCCGTCGGGAGCGCTGTGGCAGCGAGCCGTCTTCAGACCGCACATGGACTTTGGGGACATTGTCGAGGGCGATGCTCCTGATGGCAGGCTGGAGGGCCTTTCCCTTCCCCTTCACCTCCGCTCAGTGTGGTCCTGACTAGGGCGCCGCTAAGCTGAGTTCTCTTGCCGCACCCCTCCTCCCGGTTTCTCGCTGATAGTAATTGAGCTAAACGAGTCATTCATCGCGTTTTGTTCCGCCAGCTGGCAGGGGCGTTGAACGAAGTGGCTCAGTAAAGGGGCTGCGCGTTTCGCCGACTCGCAACAGACCCCAGGATAGGGATGATTGTCTTTGTCTCACCTTGCGGACATCCCACCCCAGCCTTCAGCACTTTATCACACCCTGTTCGCACCGGTGCTGAAGCGTCCCAAGCCGCCGCTGCCGCTCCCATCGCCGCAGCCGCCTCCGTCCCGCACGGACCCAATTATGGTGCAAATTGGTCCATGTCGGCCGTTTGGCGGTGCAGCGGTTGGCGCACGGCCGGACGGCGTGCCGGGGCCGCCGGCGCAGGCCAGAGGTCACGAGCGACCGCCGGGGGCGGAGGTCACACGTCGGCCGCGGCCCGTCACCAGCCCTTCAGCACCGGTCGTCGGGTCACGGGGCGGGCAGCCGAGCACCCGGCCGCGGCCTGAGCGTCCTGGCACGTGCTGTGACGGCGCAGGAAGCCAGGCGGCTGGAGAGGGGGTGGCCGACTTGTCCGGGCGTGCTAGGTTACGATCGTTCTTCACGGCTCCCGTGTCTGCTTCCTCTGTTGGATAATTACGCCGTCGCTCAGGTGTTGATGTATTGTTAAGTGTACCGCCCATCACGCTCCCGCGGCCACATCCGTTCCCGGCTTTGGCCGCCGTGACAGCAGCAGTGCCGACGTCAGCGGCCTTGACCGGCCGACGGTGCCCTCCCAGTGCTCTTCTGAGCCTTCCCCCTCATCCGAATGCATGCGAGCAAAAAGACTGGTACTGGACTTAAAGCATGTAACAAGTGCTGGTATACTAGATCCTAAGCGCATCGCTATTTATAGGCATCATCATGATCATATGGCATCACTGTCACTAGCACATCGGCTTCAGTTGGGAGGTTATTTCCAAATATCAGAACAATTTGGAAAGGGTCAAATATTTTTGTTAAATTGAAATCAGCGACACGCATCAAAGTAACCGAACTCTGGGACAAATCGGGATTCGATGGCAGGCCAGGTCAACTTTGTTGGCTCAGTTGGCCCGCTATCATGACGGGGACCGAGCCTGTGGTCACAGGCGCTCGCTATCGAAGCGGGAACGGCCCTGTGGCCACATCGGTACGCTGGCGGCGGCTCGGTGTGCGTGACATGAGGCTCCGTTCGGCGGATGGAATGTGTGCCGCGCCCGCGGTGCTCGTGGAACTGGACAAGTTCGCAGTAACGAAAACCGTTTGTTTCACCAGAGGCTACCGGAAGTTTGCGGCGGATAGTCTGTTAGACGGGGCAATCTTGTACTTGGCGAACATGCTCCAGTGCGATTTCACAGCTCGCTTCCCTGGAAGACCTGCGCGTAATTCATTCGGATCGACTTTTCTCAGCGATAATGTGAAGGCGATGGATCGATAGCGCTGCGATTTCTAATACTTGGCTGCAGTCAATGGGCTGTTTCCGGCGGGCTTCCAGCTTTCGCACGGCCTTCGCGGCTTCACGAGCACACACAAGGTGTGTACAGCTGAGGTCGTCTGTCTTTCGCTCGGCGCGTAGCATTGCAAGATAAACAAGCTGTCATTTTGCGCCGGGTACTAAGCGGCAGGATATCTGAACCAGTGCATGTTTTGTGCGCTGGTTATATGGGTCCATTAATTGGACGAGGGACACGTAACGGCGTTTGAGGGGCGATGACAAATGGTCACCAGCGGCGGATGATGTCCACCTCCACGATCGCCGCTCGCGGTGCGGTTTTTGCCCAGTCAATCTGTTCATATCCTAGTTACGCGTTTTTACCCCGGCTCGAATCGGACCAAACACTGCAGCTGTTGCCGGGGGCCGCTATGCCGAAGAACACATGCTCTCAGCGCGCGGGCGGATGCCGAAAACGCCCTCCCAGACGGGCGGGGCGGGATGCCATAGTCCCCGGCACCGTTGGTGGCCGCACCACATCCTGCAGGGTTCCCGGACCTCTTTGGGCGCAGCCGTGGTCAATGTCGGCTCTGATTAGGATGGCAGGGAACTGTGGCCGATTCCGCCCCTCTGTCCATTGTGTCCCGCGGGTCAGACAGACCAGAGCACTGGGCGGTGCCGAGCCATTAGCATAATTACCTGTGTGTGGCGCGCGCCCGTCACCGCCGCCGCCACCGCCACACCAGCCATCTATGGCTGCCGACTAGGACTCCGGAGGCGTGCAGAGGCGTCCACAGCCGCGTAAATGCACTGTTGTCTCCCACGCGGATGGTCACAGGATGGCCGCTCCACACACGGGTGACTGGAGACGCTCCACATCCGTGAAGACCAAAGGGGTGGGATTTCTCGCTCCCCAGCTGACCGCAGAGCGGTCCCAGCGCACGGACCAGCATCATTGGGTCTTTCATCCCCGCGCCGACAACGAGACGAGTTCTCCTTTCACGCGCTGCGGGAGGTCCCCCCTCGCGTGGACCACGCCGGAGCTGCCCCTGCGCCACACGTGCTGCGGCGTGTGCCGGTGACCCCGCCGGCCGCCACCTTGAACTCCGACAGAGCGGCCGCCCCCCCCCCCCCCCCCCCCCCCCCTGCAGCGGACGCGCGCGCCTTAGTTCAGTCCCGCCCTGAGCGGCGCCTCCCCCCCCCCCCCCGACCCGCCAGACGGATGCGGGCGTCCAACGGCCGGCGCCACGTTCTCCCTGTCTGCGCCGCGCCCCTGCAATAACGGGCGCAACGGTCGGCCCGCGCAGCCTGTCAGGGCGACGCCCGGCCGGCAGAGGAAGTGGACCTGGGCGGTCACGTCGGGCGTCGGCGATGGAGGCAGCGCGGAGTGCTGGGGCCGACACTCCGGCACTCGCAGCCGCACTCGGACACTCCGGCACTCGCAGCCGCACTCGGACACTCGCGGACGCGCGCTGGCGCTCCTGCGTCCTTTGGAGTGTCGCTCCCATCGCCGGTGAATCTGCAGAGTCCCGCACTCGGACACTCTCCGGCTTTGGTCGGATGCACGCAAAGGCGACAGCATTTTGGTTTGGTCTTTATTTATGTTACATTTTAATATTGGTTCCAGGGAAGTCTGACTTCGTGAGTATGGGGTATTGTCGCCGCTTTTAGACGTCATGGTTGTTGCGATAGCAGCGGTGGAATCTATTTTTGGCGCGCAACAGATGCCTCCTTTGTGACATTCAAGCCGTCCTTCCGTCCGCTTTATTACACGATGAAATATAGCAGTTGACAGGGTAGCCGAACAAAATGCCTGCCTCGCGCCGGCCACCTGCATGGAGGCATGCCCGCACCAAGCCGGCCATGCCAGCTGCTACCGCGGGCCGTGCCACCTGGCCACCGTCCGTGAAGTGACCGCGGTGCACGGCATGTATCCCCGAGACCGCCGTGCAGCCGGTGGGATGGCACGCCCCGTCGGCCAGGGCACCCTTTGCCGGGGCATTGGTTCTGCGACATGTTTATTTCTGGGGGTGAGTGTTGATTAAATTGGATTCTGAGCAAAAAGTGATTTGTAAAGTGGTAGCAAAGGAAGCGAGACAAGTCGCAGGCCCAGCGCAGCTATGATAGCGTCATTATGCTGTCGCAGAGCAGCCGAGTAATTCCAGATGTTGCGTTTAAGCGCTGCAGCCCGATCCGTTCCCTGTTATGGAACGCTGGGCTGCGAGAACAGTCATGCTCACGTTTTAGGTCGCAAGATCAGAACCCGTTTACGGTAGACGCCACTGGTATGTCCCCGGCGTGGTGACCATGTCACCACTGTCCCAGTCTACCGTGACCTGCCGGTACCGAGTGCCATAACAGCCGCCTCGGTCCAGCAGACCCGTTCGCGGGTCACAGACCCCGCGAACGAGCTCGGTCGGCCGCTCCTCCGCGGGCGTGTTAGTCCTCCGCGCTGACATGTTTGCCGCGCCTTCTCTCTGCATGGCCGAATGATGGGGCTCCGTTTGACAGCTGAGGGATCGGGCCCGAGCCAGCTCGTCTTTGTCTGGTTCGCGTGAACGCCGTCCTTTGTGTGGCGTCCAGAATTTCAGCGACGGTGGCGAGAAGAGTGTCCAGCTTGGATCCAGACGACACGCCGGATCACGCTGTCCAGGCTGCCCCCCCTCCCCTCCCCTCCCCTGCGCCCCGGTGATCTCCGGTGTCCAGGCTGCCCCCCCCCCCTCCCCTCTCCTCTCCTGCGCCCGGTGATCTCCGGTGTCCAGACTGCCCCCTCCCTTCCCCTCTCCTGCGCCCGGTGAGCTCCGGTGTCCAGACTGCCCCCTCCCTTCCCCTCTCCCGCGCCCGGTGAGCTCCGGTGTCCAGACTGCCCCCTCCCTTCCCCTCTCCTGCGCCCGGTGAGCTCCGGTGTCTCCCCGCCGCTCGCGGTGACGGTCCATCGTCCGAGCTTGCGTCTTCCGTCGCCGGGACTACGTGACCGGGACCGTGGGAGCGGCCTGGTGGGCGGCCGGGCCCGCCAGGCCGGCTCACGTGCAGCGGCGAGTCGTCGCCCAACGCTCGATAACGGCCACCCGCACGGCCGTCAGACCGTGCTGAGAGATCGAGGCAAGCGGCTGTCAGGCCGCGGTGTGTCATCTCCAGCGTGCACGCTCACTCCCCGCCCGTGGCCGGCTCCACCCTGTGCTGTAGTCCATCCCCGCCCCGGTCCGGCCCGGCCCGCCCCAGTGCGGCACTAATCAGCCTGATCGGGCTGCTAACACGAGCCAGGCGCGCGCCGACCGCCGCCTTCTCCTGAGCTCGTCACCGGCGCGGAAAAAGGGCCGGCGCTAAAAACGGCCTAGGCTGGCGTCGCTATCCATCGCCGGCCGGTGACGACACCGTCTCGGCCCGGCGGCGGGCGGCGCCGCTCGAGGCCGGTGCGGCGCCCCACAAAAAGCCACGCCGTCACGCCGTCCCACTGTTTGAACGGCGCTCGCTCGGCCCCGCCAATTCGATCAGCTGCGTTACCGCGGAGAAATCGTGCACGGGGACCGTTTAGCGCCCGAGATGGCCGGGATCAGCAGGTGTCTCGCGGTGGGCCAAGCGGGCCGCGGAGCGCCGGCCACCGGCGCCGCTCTCGGCGGGTTGTTTATCGGAGCTGCTTGATTACGGCGAAGCGCCGTCTGCGCCGCCGGGATGTCGCTGACCCGGTTGGATGACCCTCGGCTGTCCCCCGCCGTCCGCGAGGCCGCCGCGGCTCGACACTTGCCCGCGCGGCCGGAACCTTCGGCGGTGACCTCGGGCCGGGTGTGTGTCGGTCACCGACGCCCGGACCTCTCTCGTCCCGCGCCGTCAGGGCGAGATCGCCGCCCATTGTCCGGCCCTGTGCGGGACACGCCGGCCGCGGTGGTGCGCTCGCCGGTGCCGTCACAGTGACGGCCGGCGTGTCCGGCACGCGTCGAGACGCCGGGGCCCCGCGCCGGACACGCCAGGCTGCTGACCGCTCCGCTGGCCGGCCGGTCCGGCGGCGCTCGGACACTCTCCGCTCTGAAGTGGAGACTGCCCGTGCCGCCGCCGGCCCGAGGGCGTGCAGAGCTGCTGCCTCTCGCCGGCGTGCGGCCTTCGGGCATAGGCGAAGCACGCCACGTGCCAGCGTGAACCCGGCATGCCCCACTTCCGGAGAAGAGCCCACTGGGAAGCAGCAAGACGCGCACGAGCTAGGCTGTCTGGATAGCAAGGCGCTTCAGCCTGACTGTGTGATATACGTTTGCTGTCTGTAGCTTCGGGTAACCGGCCCGAAGCTTTTACTTGCGTCGGAGTTCTCCGCCTCTCCGGTGACGTGGTCCACTTCGGTTTTCCCACGATCCCTTGTTGCTGAACAGCGGGGACTGTTTCATTGTTCACGCTTTTTAATAAGGTACCACAGCGGTGCCAATTGCCCAAATAAGTTGGTGCGTGAGAAGGTGATTGAATGGTCTATTAATTGGCTGATTACATTGGCAAGTATGCGGTTGAGTAAGCCGCCAGCTGAAGAATGACAACTGAATTAATAGGATATTATCTGTGAGAGATCGAGTGATGTTAAGAGTAAATGATGACTGAATTAATGGCGCCGCATGCTTTGCAGAAGTGCCTGCATGCCAGATAAATGGCACGAGTGCGCACGACAAAACATCAGCCACATTCCACCGCCGCAGTGTTTTTGCGTCTCGCTCCCGCTGACATGTTCCGCCTGCAGCAGCCGGCGCGGCCGTGTCCGGGTTGTGGGCGGCCGGGCCGGGCCGGAGGTACGCTGCAGCGCTGGTCCGGCGCCGTGGGACGGCCGTGCCGCTGCCGCCGTGCCGCCGTGGATGCCGCGCCGGCGGGATGAATCCGGTGATGGCTGACCGTCCCCGCTCCATTCCAGGGTGCTGGTGGGCGCGCCTAAAGCCAACTCGACGCTCGGTCTGCACAGCATACCGGAGACGGGCGCCATGTTCAAGTGTAGCGTGGGGAGTCTCGGCTGTCGGGAGGTGGTGATGGACACGTCAGGTGAGGCTGGGCACAGCTCTGAAAGGTGGTGCTAGATGCGTCAGGTGAGGCTGGGCGCAGCTCTGAGAGGTGGTGTTGGATGCGTCAGGTGAGACTGGGCACAGCTCTGAGAGGTGGTACTGGATACGTCAGGGGAGCCTGGGCACAGCTCTGAGAGGTGGTGCTGGACACGTCAGGTGAGGTCCGAGAGGTGGTGCTGGACACGTCAGGTGAAGTCTGAGAGGTGGTGCTGAACACGTCAGGTGAGGCGGGATGCCGCCCGGTGCGCCAGCACACGCGCACGCTCGGCGCGGCCGCGCGACACGCGCACGAGGGTGTGTTTTGGCTGCGCTCGTCCACCAGCCGGCAGTTGCCGCGCGTTGCCGGCCGATCCCAGCCGAGGTTAGCTGGCTATTGTCGTCTGGCTTACCTCACTGTAATCAGGGACGGTTGTTATTTCATTTAGATGACGTGTCCGCTTTATTTCACTGGGCGTTCACACCACCCCTGTCAGGACTTCACTGGGCGTTCACACCACCCCTGTCAGGACTTCACTGGGCGTTCACACCACCCCTGTCGGGATCGTCCTCGCTGCGTCGCACTCGCTGTTAAGCGCGCTCTTCACCACGGTCCGATGCCCTTCACCTCGCTATCGGCATAGCCACCTGACTTCACCTCCGTCGGAAGATTGCCTCACTCGACCCGCTGACAGGACATCACCTTTCCGCTGACAGGACCTCACCTTCCCGTCGACAGGACCTCAGCTTTCCGTCGACAGGACCTTACCTTCCCACTGTCAGGACCACACCTTCCCGCCGTCAGGACCTCACCGTCCCGCCATCAGGACCTCACCTTCCCGCCGGCAGGACCTCTCCTTCCCGCCGACAGGAGCTCACCTTTCCGCCTTCATGACCTCACCTTCCCGCCTTCAGGACCTCACCTTCCCGCCTTCAGGACCTCGCCTTCCCGCCGACAGGACCTCACCTGCCCGCCGACGGGACCTCATCGTCCCGCCGTCAGGACCTCATCGTCCCGCCGTCAGGATCTCACCGTCCCGCCGTCAGCGGTGTTCAGCTCAGTGCAGCACGACTCGGGCCGAGGCGGCTCCGGCTGCCAGCCGAGCCTGTTCAGCACCGTTCGATGTCGCCTCGTTCTGGCTGCGGTTTTTATCGGTCTGTTTTTGTGAGGGTGATGTGCGAGACTGGCCTGCCGGCCCCGGCGCCCCGTGCTTTGTGAGACGGCAACGCTGCTTGGCGTGAGAAAGGATGCCGACACGGCGCCGGTCGCTGAACCCCAGCGCCAGCGCCAGGGCCGGCTGGAGTCCGGGCGAAGTCCGAGCCCTGCTGCAGCGGCGCCCTTGCAGACGACTCGGCCGCAGGTGTCCGCACCGCCGATCCTACCGCGTGTGTTCCGCTCTGTAATGGCGGCCGTCGTGTTCGGTGTGATCTGGCCGCGGCTGGTGCCTAGCATCCATCCCAGCTGCGCTTGCCTCGTTCACCAGCGACGCGTCGCTGACTCTCCCCGGCGAAAAACTGCCAGACGCTGGCGCCCGCAGAACTGTTGACCTTCACTGAACGCGGCCGCCGCTGAACGGCTGCCCCTCGCCCAGACAGACGGACTGGCGGAGCTGACGTGCGTGGACGCAGTCAACGCTGCAGCCCCCCGCCGCATTATGAACTATGGGACCGACGGACCGAAACTAGGAGGCGCGCTGGTATTTGATTGCCGGTGCAGATGTGTTTTGTGCAGATATTTCACCGAATGTCAGCGGCAGGTGGCAAAAAGCACCATTGTTGCAAAATCACTAGCGTCACCCAGTGCTTTTAAAGGCGATATTTTCTGTGTCCTTCACCGTGTGGGTGAATAACTCCTGCTGCAATCGCCTTTATGACTGGCATTGCTTCCGGAATCGCATTTTCAAAACGTTTCCCTCGGTGACCCGCTGGTTTCGCGGTGTATTTGTGGTTAGGCGATCATGCGAATATCAGGCCTACTCATTATGAGCCTCGTGCAGGCAATGCAAAAAGGAGACACCGAGCCTGCTATCGATCCGGTAAAAACTGATCACCCTTCGCTCGCGGCACAGCCAGGCCACTAAGCCGTAAAAACGGACATACAGTCATCCCGCTGGGCGTGTCCAGATGTCCAAACAGCGAACAGCGCTTCGGCCGTTGGGCATGTTCGGGCCAGAAAACCGGCGATTAGCCCCACACCAAGGCTGCCTTTTTAGGTATACTGTTCAGCTCCAGCGCGTGGTCAGCGAAGAGCTTGCGGATGCTGGCGGGTATGAAGGCGGCAATTGAGGTGGGCGTGGCTTAGCCTGCCGTGCAGCACAGACGACAGATGCCATTTGCACCTGAAAGGCAACAGTGCTGAATGGCTATTTTTCGCCTTAGTGGGCAAAAACCAATGTTCTGTAGAGTAGTGTGTTGCAGACGCCAGACGTTGCGACCAGACGAATGAGTCGTCACACTTCATCCCAACTGAATCGGTTAAAGCAGACAACTGGGTGAACTGAATTGCCACATCCAGTCCACAGAATGACCGCGGCATCATTATATGTCTAAAGCTTTTCCTGCGTTTTTCCTCCCTGAGGTGCGCACAATTTTTGGCTGATGCCAGGTTTGTTCGGAATGTCGCAATTCGTGAGCTTAAATGAAGGCTTATGCACGTAGAAGTCGTTTCATACTTCCCTTTTGGTTACTCGCTGTTCAAGTGCAATAGCCCATGACCGCGGACTTTAGGTTTGCCGAGGCATGCAGGTCGTATGGCCCATGCAGTGCATTTTCGTTCTCTGAGATCGCCTGGTCGGTCACGACTTTTGAAAATCCCACGCCGGTACTTCATCAGCATCCGAACAGCCTCGGCGTGACCCTGCCCTGTTGGCATTTGGTGCCGCCTGTAATCACGGCTGGTGCCGGGGCGGCCGGCGCGCCCCCTCCGCGCACCGGGCGTGCTCGACGAGGCCATCCGTTCGGTCGCGCTGGACGGCGGGGCTGAATCACGGCCCCGGTGTTGTGGTGTGGCGTACCGCTGATCTGATCAGATCTGACCTGACCTGACCTGACCTGACCTGACCTGACCTGACCTTACTGACCTGACCTGATCTGATCTGACCTGAGCTGACCTGTGCTGAGCTGACCTGTGCTGAGCTGACTTGAGCTGACCTGAGCTGACTTGTGCCAAGCAGACCTGACCTGCGCTGACCTGTGCCGAGCAGACCTGACCTGCGCTGTGCTGACCTGTGCTGAGCTGACCTGAGCTGACCTGAGGTGACCTGTGCCGGCAGACGACTCGCGTCGTCAGGGCCAGCCGCCGTTCTACTACCGGGACCGGCGGGACGGCGCCTGGATCGGCGGCGCGCTCGACACCGACCCTTCACCCCAGGGCAAGGTGTCGGTGAGTACCTTGCGGCGTGTGATCCGTGCGCTCCCCTCGGCCTGCGCGGCTGTGCCCAGCAGAGCCATGCTGCTGCCGCTGGTAGCCATCCCGGTCGTGTTTTATGCGAACGACAGTGAGCTTGCGTTGAACGAGCTGAAATTGACCTAGATCCACCGTCATTCCAGTGGCTAAGCAGGGTGATGTGAATGAGGGTCAGTTTTCCTGCAGGCCCGTTTTGCGCGTCTCATTGTTTGGGTTGCTCCCTGCGCCGCCGTTAAACTGTTAAACCACCCATCAATATGTCTGCAGACCGAACGGTGCTGTTTGCCGAGCTGACTCATATCTGCGACGGGCGGTTTTGAAGCCGTGGCTTGATCCCAACCCGCAACCCCAGCCCCAACCCGACGGGCCGGCTCCGGCAGAACCTACAATAGTAATCAGCATGGACACTGGCGATGGAGGTCACCACATCCACCGAACACCCTCGCCACCCGTCGAATTCATGGAACTCACGGGATAACACTGCAATTAGTGAGCTGTGATTGATAATCAGCCGTGCCTAATTCGCGAGCTTGGAGTGGAATTGAAGTTACTGAGTGATCGAGAAGACCATTGCGAGACCATTGCTTCACTCCGCAGGTCATGGGAAGTGTTGGCCCGAAATTCATAAATATTCAACTTTCCCTCGGTCCCCGTGGGGATGAACCTCATCGATAATCATTTAAATATTTACCGCTATATCTCGCCGTTAGCTCATTAGCTCCATGTAATGATTATGATTGACGTCTGAAGTCCACGGAAACACAGCTGAGGGTAAGAGATAGCTAAGTGTATGGTCTGCGATGCTGTACAGTCCACAGCGCAAAGCTTTGTATGCCAAAATAATGAGAATAACGCCGTGCGGCCGCCGTGGCTGCGACCGAGGGTCCAGCAGCCTGGCTGACGGTGATATGCGGAAGCGACGCTGGCGTCCCATCCAAGGAGCGGGCTGTCAGCCGAGGACAGGCCGACGCGGCACCTGCGACTCTCAAAACAAACAGAGCGTCGCGCCTGGGCCTGGCCCCGCCGACCGACCTGGCTTCCGGCCGCAGGGGTCAGGTGCCCGGCTCCGCTGAGGCGGTCCCAGGGTCAGGTCACCGGCTCTCGGTCAGAGCTCCCCTGCTCTGGCCAAGGGTGCCAGAGTAACGGCGTATTTGCACTGCTCCTGCTGTTATAGGATCCCATTTATATGAGGTCTTGGAAATGGCTTCCCCGTGTTGGTCCGACGTTGACAACAATGGTTCTCTCGTACGCGTGCCTTAGGAATAAAGTCGGCACGTACACGGTGTCCAAAATGCGAGGCTAGTAACTAAAATTGGAGACGGAGAAATGGTTTATTTAGGTGGCTGCGCAGTGGCACGGCCAATGTCGCACCCACTTTTCTGAATTTAAATATCTCCGCGCGTACTCACTTTTAAAGCTTAAGACCCAGGCTTCATCTGAAGAATAAGGCTGAGATTCAGACAGACATGGGATTTGACCTGCGTGGAGTGAACGGGCAGATGCTTTGCGATCAAGTCATGAGCTACTGGGTACTGCCGGACGTCCAGGCATGTGAGAGATGCAAACAGCTGATCTTCCAATGCCGTCGCGAATGATTGCTTTTTTAATTGCAGTCATCTAATGACCCCTGAAAGGATGATACAATTGGGGTCATGTCCCAACTCTCCTCACACGATGTGTGCACCCTGTTGCGATCATTTTGTTCGATGAAAGTGTCTAGTGGCTGAATGACATCACACGGTACCAACGGCAATGCAAACCAACGCAAATTATGATAATGTCTGCTTTTGTTTGGACGTCAGTCCCATGCCTGGGTAACCAAAAACATAGTGCGCTATCATCTTTGTCGACCGGGGCAAGTGAGCTGGACAAGAACGAAACTATTTTTTCCGAAAGAAGCGGGAAACAGGCCATCGCCGGAGGCGGCCATTCCCGGTTCAAGCAGGCGCGGTACCGGTTCTCCCAGCCCTTGGAATGCTCTTAAACCACGTCGTGTTGCGTGCGACCGTTAAGTATCGCGGCTGCCAGAAGCCGAATCGTGCATGGCACGCCAGCCATGTCGGCGATTTTCCGCGGACGAGATCCCCATGTCGGCTCCGGGAAGCGTTTCTGCAAATGGCAACAACGCGCCATGGGCGCTGCGCACGAAAGTGCTACAATTAGACACAAGTGGTGAAACTGGACGTCCATTTACTAATGGCAGCATCGGACAGTGCGGCGCTCACGCAGAGCGTGGCGCAGGCGGGGCTGGGCTGGGGCCTGTCAAGTGTCGACTGTGACCCCGCCCCGGTCGCGGGCGGCAACTGGGGCGAACCTGGCTGGGCGCCGCGCCGCGACAGCAGCCGTTCGGGATGGCCTGACCTCTGGGGGAACGCATGCATCTGATCGGGGACTGCTCTGCTGGGTATGTGCGGCCGGCTCCGGTGGAACGCTAAAGGCACCGTGGCGCAACACAACCAGCGACACCGTCAAAATGAACACGATTCTTCAGTTATTATATCAGGCATTCCGCTCCATTCGCTTTGGCCCCAGGTGCCAAAAGGCCGTCAGCCAATAGTGTCCAAAAATAGTGATGATAGAAGTAAAGCTGTTAGGTACAGGTAGAAGTGTCATGTGAATGGCGAAATCCCATTTTCGTAGCCTGCGATGACCCCAGTTTTTTAACCCTCTGTGACCAATCGGCTCTCAGTCTCTGTCGATTCCCGCCGTCCAGACCTCGTCGTCCCTTCGCTGTCTGGCCTCGGTAACCTCTGGCCGTTCAGCCCGTGATGACGAGTCACCCCACTTGACCGGCCGCCCCGGTCGCCGCCACCGTCGCCGTCCGCCGGCCGGCGCGGGCGGCACGTCCTCAGCCCAATTGGCCCTGACGCCGCGGCGGCGCTCTCTCGCTCGCTCCTCTCTCCCGGCCGCCCGCAGGACAGCAGATCGCTGAGCGGTGGCATACCGGGCCGGTATCGGGCCGTGCAGGCGGTGCAGGGCGGGGCGGGGTAGTGGCGGCGGCGAGTCGTGCGGAGGTGCGCCCGGCGTGGCCGCGGCAGACCGCAGCGGCGCCCAAACGGCCCGCCGCCGCCGCCGGCTGCGCGGAACGGATGCCGGCCGGCGGCGGCGGCCGCGGCCGCGGCCCGACTCCGCCGCCGCGGCCGCCGAAGAACGCACGCCTAATCTCGGCGGTCGTGACGACCGTGAACGGGACGACGCCCACGGTCCATCCGAGGCTCGGACCAGCGGAAATCGCCCGCGGTATGTGCGATTTCTTTCCTGCTTTTAACGTACCCTTTGGCAGCTACCTGCAACGGGGTTTTGACCAACCGACTTTCCTAAAGTAGGGGCAATACTTTTTCATTAGCCATAGCATTACGATGTCGCCGTCCTAATGCAATATCACGTTTGCATTGGTTCGATGTGCGTACATCGCACGCTGCGGCGTAACCTTTCCGTCCTGCTCGGCCGATCACGTGATCTGAGCCGTCCTTGGCTGCTGTCGAGAGGTCCTCAGGCCCGCGTGCCCGGCCGGTGACATTGGGTGCTGTCCGCGCGAGACAAATGGCATGTTTTCAGTTTCCTCTTGCGTCCTGGTGCAGATCAGCCACGAATGCGCTGGGACCGTCGATGCGACGATATGTCGCTGGCGGCCAAGGTGATATGACGTCACGCCAGCGAGCCTGACGTCACGCGGCGCTCGAGCTCGGGCGGGCCTTTCAGCCCGACTGACTGTGAATTCCAATGCAGATTTGACTGAGCCGTGGCCGGATATTTATAGAAGGCTGGATTGCGAGCACCGCAATGTCAGCAGCTGCGGTGGCGTCCTCTAACCAGTCAAAACGCCGAGACCCGTGATTTACATCGGTCAGGGCCTCTGAGTTGAGGCCTCTCTGTCGGTCAGAGGCCCACAGTCCCAACATGGGGCCAGTGGCGGCAAGGGGCCTCGAGTCGGCCAGGAAAACATTTGGTGCACAGGAGCAGGGACGGGATCCAAATGTGAGGCTAGTCAGGGGTCCATTACCGAAACGCAGAGCCCTCAGTCCCATTTGAGGCGGGGGCCCGTTATGCTGACCTGGAGTCCCTGTGCCAATTATTGGACCTTGGATTTGGACTATTGGAAGAGATCTTTTTGTGTCGCTGAGGGCCCTGCGTCCTTACGGGGACATCTGCCCGGGTCAGAGGGCCTCCCATGTCAGGGAGGGGACCAAAGCATTATTGATGCCTCTGAAAGTCTCCTGATTGACCAGGTCCGTGTCGTCAGCAGTGCAGCCGGTAGGCACCCTGTACTGGAACTGCACCGGCACAGGCCCTTCAGCCCCGGACCGGAAAATATAATATGCCTCCTAGCAATCCACCCACGGGGTCCTTGTTCGCAAAACGTCTCCTTAATGTTGAATATAGTGAATCAGAATGATGCCAAAACATGAAGAGAGTGAACCCATGTTTGTCTAAGAACGTCCGTCCTTTTTCAGAATCGACTAGTGAAGCAAATTGCACAAACATGTTTTGAGTCTGTTCACTCGCGATGTTAGGAGCAAGAACACAGGTGGCCGGGGTTGCAGTTTCCATCAAACGGGGCTGCGTGAACTGCTGCAGAGGCAAATAACAGGCGGCGGGCGGCGGGCGCGCGAGAACGACCGTCATGAAAGCCGGATTTTTTCGAAATCAGCTCATATCGTTCAAAAATTAGAGTGATGCGTCATTTCACGTGCAGTGTGACTCGGGCGACTCGGGCTGCCGTCAGCCGAGCGGCAGTGTGACTCGGGCGACTGCTGCTGGCCGCCGTCAGCTGAGCGGCAGTGTGACTCGGGCGACTGCTGCTGGCCGCCGTCAGCTGAGCGGCAGTGTGACTCGGGCGACTGCTGCTGGCCGCCGTCAGCCGAGCGGTAGTGTGACTCGGGTGACTGCAGCTGGCCGCCGTCAGCCGAGCGGCAACGTGACTCGGGCGACTGCTGCTGGCCGCCGTCAGCCGAGCGGCAGTGTGACTCGGGCGA